AAATAAATAAATCTAGATGGGGAACAAAATGAAGCCTATAGACAGTTACAATGATCCAAAACCCAAATTCATTCAAACCTTTTTTCAATTTTCCAAAGAAGGCTTGTTAACCTTGCACCAAACATTCTGCCTGTCCTAACTGGTGCATGACATCAGCGGACACACATTCACTTGAAAGGGGCTTCTTGTTCAGTGTCAAACAAAAACTCCACTCCTCCCCGACAGGGACATTCTGAAATGATTAACGTGCACACAGAACCTCGCATAAATCCACTCTTACTACTTCTCCTGTGTTTTTGTGACCTTTCCCGTTGCGCTGCACTGGTGTAACGCTTACTGGTGTTTCAGGAATACCCGGCTGCTGCAGGGAAAGGCAGGTTTAGTCAGTTGAAATGGGAATGAAAATGTACAACTTGGATCAATAGGTATTCCCCTCCAGCTAACTCTGCCTTGATGGAAAACACATGGATATGCTTGCTCTGATGTGCGGCAGGCGATTTTTTTGTGTGTTAAGTTGCACCGTTTTTAGATTCCAACAGTTGATCTTCAATCGATAAGGACAGAGTTTGATTTGTAACCATTCGTGTAGGTGGGACTCTACAAGCGCTTTCACCGGGAAGGTTTTGTACTCGTTGGGAAGTCGGGGAGCTCCATTTATGTTTTTTTTTTATTTTTTGCCAAACTTTGTCTTCTGAAGCAGCAGCCAATTTTGTATGTGCGAGGCACAGGAAAAGGGCAGAGAGGGAAGGAGGGAGGGGGGTAATGAAAGAGTCATTCCCGAACATTAAAAGAGGCACTTTTCCTCTCAGCTACCATTTGGATGTTGTTTCTGGAAGGGGAAGTGCAAATGTTTTCCCCCCGCCCTCCTCCGCCCCCTCCTCGCTGCTTACACAAGGGAAAAGGGGATTGTCTTGCGTCTCTTGCACCGTCCGCTGTACGGCAATCTTTTAAAGTAACTCTACTGGTTCTGATGAGTCACGTGTGGTCGTCGTGTTCAGTTATTTTAAAGTATCTTTGAGTCATTCTCTTGACAATAGCTATTCTTCTGAGGAACCTGTTTGAAGTATTACATTTTGAGCAGGCTTTGTTAAACACAAAACATTGTCAAAATATTCAACTCTTCACAGTGATGTGGTAATGGGAGTAGGACGAGTTACTCTAGACTTGGATGTGTTTGCAGCTGTTATGCAGTTGCTGTCAGAAGATATTTGTGTTGGACTTGATGGCTGTTTGAGCACATGCATGTCTAAATAAACTGGCAGCTTTTCACATTACACAGTACATTACATTTATACATACAAAACTGTTTTTGTCAGTTTTGTACTTAAGTTCCTTAAGTTCTTCCAGATCCTTGTCTCCTGTTGTGGCAAGACGTTGACCCAGAGCTTGTGCAGTGTCTGGGGCGTGTGACTGCCCCAGAGACCCCGGAGCTGTGGAAGTGCTGACGTGTGCTCTTTCGGACTCTAAATAGTTGACAGAACAGTAAATTGTCTGTGTTTATGGAAGGACTGGCTTTGCACTTCAGGCCACAATTAACAAGTGTTGTTATTGAGCAGAATAATTTGCAAAAACAACAATATTGTGCCCATACTTTCTTGTCCAGAGCCAATGCTGAAAAACGCAACAAATATTTTGTCTTGCTCTGGTGAGTGAGTGGTGAACTTTAGTCACCTGAAGACATACACATGTGGTGTATAAAACATTACCCAGCCTCCTAGGAAAATGTAGCAGTTTTAACAAAAAAATTGTTTTTTGACTTATCAAGAATGATTCAGATTCAGTTTATTTGCCATTTGCAGTAAAAACACCACATTGGAATACATTAGCAAAAAGTCTCCAGTGTGCACAGACACATACAGACATAAAACAACATTAAAAGACAGAAATAAAACAAATAAAACAGTAAACAAATACAACTATGTACAATGAACTATACATACATAATTATTTGGCCCATAACATCTCACACTAACAATAAGCAAAAAAATGAGTGTGATCTATTGGTTCCAGTATTTGCTCTGTTTGGAATGTGACAGCCTAAAGGCCTTTTCCATCTGCAGCCTGGGGGAAAATCAGCCTCAACAATCTCCTCTCAAATATGAAAACATATTCTTAGGTTTACCCCTGGCTCACACCAACTCTGACATTGGCGTGACTTGTAATGTGTCGACCAGTCTTTCCGTACAGTGAACAGTCACCGGGGAGGTTCTGCAGAGTCCTGGATCCTTTCTGTTGGATGATATTTTTGAACAGCCCTACACAAGCCTGTCCCTGTTTTCTAGAGGACCACAGTCCAAGGTGTGCTGTGTGAACCAGGGTTTAGGGAGAAGGCAGAATGAAACTTAAACAAGTACTATTTTTACATGCGCTCTTGTATACTACTTTTTATACTTGAGTTTAGTTTATTCTGGTTGATGAATAACTTTTACTTTTCCACAAATAAAGCAAGGGCTGTCAAAAAAAAAATTGACATTGTGTAAATGTTAATTGTGTTAAAAGTGGTGCCTCGTTGCGTTGTGCTCTCACTAGGGGCCTCCTGTAAAGCCCTACAGCTCTACAGAACCATTGTCCCTTGGTGTCATTTGAATACTGTTTTGAAGTACCTTTTTGTTTATGGCGCTCCATCAAAGCAGCCTTGCAAATCTAATACATTATGTAAATTCTTTAACAAAAAGTCCTTTAGGCAAAATGAACCAGAGAACTTGTAAACATGTTTTTATTCTAATGTTCTGATTATGAAATTCTCGATGATTGGCTGTAGTCTGTGTAAATGCCAATATCTGTAGACTTTAATTTGCACTTTAATTTTTTCTGTTTATATTGATAACTATATTTTGAAAGCATTCAGCAACACAATTGTGTGATTCATTGTATTTCTCCAGAGATGGCATTGCTTTTAGAGATGTTTTTATAATTAGGCTGTATCTATCTACATTAATTCACAGAACATGGAGCAGAACAAAGTGACAACTGTGCTTTATTCAAATTCTGCAGACGTTTTCTAATGTGTTTTGTTTAGGCTTAATTTGACAGCTGCGTGCATATAGTGTTTCCATGTCTCCGCATATTTACCAAAAAGAGGTGTCGGCCGTGTTGGTGTAGTTTTGTGTGCTGATGAAGTGTAGTGCTTTGGCCCGCGTGTGTGTTGTGCTTTGTGAGTTTGTGTGGCTGACTCAAAAAAGGACACTGCAAACCCACTCTGAACTGTTTGCACATGTCCGAATTCACTCGTGCTGCACAGCCACATCAATGTTACAAAAAGACGTCTTCAAATGGAAAGAGACGCCTACACATTTTTATTTTCAGAGCAGCAAACAAAAGAGTTTTTGATTAGAGGGAGAAAAGGGCATAGATTTACAATTCAGTGTTTTTAATGCACTGATTTAGATTCAGATGGGGCACTGCGCGTCTCTGATTCCCCCAGGGCCCATAGAGAAAGCCAGTCCCCTTCCCCCTGGCCCATATGTAGACACTACCTTTCCCCTACACACATGGTTAGTTTTATCAAGGTAATGGCTGTGCGCTGTGTCCAGTAATGGGATGGGTGTGGGATGGGTGTGGGAGGGAGGGAGGGACGCAGGGGCCCACAACTAAACACAAAGTCCCTTTCCAGCTCTTAGAGGCTGCGGTCGGAAAAAAGCCACATCGGTTCAAAGGTCTACAATTTATTCATGATCAGATTGCGCACAGACGGTTCAATAAAAACAATGGATAAGGCCATATGGAGAGGGATTTTCCAGCGTCGGCCTCATTGGTCAAACTCTATTGAGAATCTGATTAGTATATGACATGGGAATGTTATTATAAGTGAGGACCCTGCACAACTATTTGGCTTGCTGTTGGGGTCGATACTGATATTTGCCATTCTTGTTTTATAATTTATTGTATAAACACATTACAATAAATTGCAAAAGTTTAAAGGTTAGAGATCAAAGTCTTTTTCAAATAATTTATGATCACCAGTCATGTGAGAGAGGTGTATCAGTGTCTTGTCTGTGTTTATGAGTGGATGTTTTGTGTGTTTGTTTTATGTTATGTGAATGAGTGAGAGCAGTTGAAGCCCAATAGCCATCTGCTTCTTCAACCCCTTTTCAGAGTGTTGTTTATGTGAGCGATAAAAGTTTCAGGAAAAACTGGCATTACAAACAATAAAAAATTTTTTTAATCTTTCCCACAAAACACATTTTGTTAAACCATTGTTGCCGCTCTATAATCCTTCACAGACTATATTAGCTCAATGGTATGGTTTTCCTTTACCAGTGTTAGTTCGAAAGGTTAAATATTTATCTTTTGTTGGAATGTTCCCTTTCTTCTCCACTTTGCTACTGCCTACTTGATATACTGTTGAGTTCTGTCCTCTGTAGACCACGGCCTCTGAAAATATTGATCTGGGATATTATGTTGACCTGGGCAAATATTTCACCTGCAATCATTGACTGTTTCTTTTCGCTCCAGAAGATTCATTCTGCGGACATACAATCGAATATATGTGGCCACACTTGTGCTTCCATTCATTAATGGGATGTGATTGGCTTGAATCAAAATGAGTTTTGGAATGAAAGTGGTGTCTCTTTATCGCACACATTGTTGGCCACAACTTCCCAGTTTGAAAGCAGGCGATACAGTTGGTTCCCTTGTGATGCAGCCCACTTCCTCTGTCCTTATTCAAATTGTGTGTTCTCCGGGACACGCCGCATGACCCCACACGGTTTTGCTCCTGTTGTGATGATTGTGTTTTTGTGGTTACATTTCCTCTCCTTTCAGAGTGCAGTGAATTTGTGGTCTCTCTGAAACTGAGTGCAGGGTGACTCAGTAATAATGTGATTACTACTGACTTCCCCAGCACTGGGACATCAGCACTTATTGATTTCACACTCGCGCGCACACACACAGCAGATAAGTGACAGCATGTACAGTATGTATTGACCCGTTGACTGTTTATCGTCCCAGTCTTTGCGGTTACTATGGTGACTGACTGTCTTCCATCTTTCTCCTCACAGCTGATGCCTTCCCAGCGAGCTCCAGTCCCTTCATGTCCGGTTATGCAGGCCCCTCCCACTTGACTGATCCGTCCTACAGATCGGCCAATCCCAGTAGCCTTCAGATGGCCCAGCTGTGGGCGTCGCACGCGCATGAAGGTGAGATCAGACTCTGTGATGACCGATAAAACAAATGAGTGAACTCTTCCTTCTGCCCACCCTTTCAACAGAAACACAGTAGAAATACAATTTATAAGTTTCATTAACCAAGCAATACAGTATAGGAAAACCATACAACCAAGGCATTACATTCATGTAGGCAATATTATGTCTACAAAACTACATTGTTTTATGCTTGGGCCAACATTTCAAGAATCTGAGAGTTAAATACTTGCTGTTATGTGAAAACCAGTGTCCATGAACCTCAATTTGACCCATATTATCAAATATCATATCAATGAACATTTGTTGGATGTGATGTGATATATCTTATTGTACAGAAATAAATGGATGTAATACACCCTGCTGATTTCAACCAAACCGTCGACGGCAGCTGTTCCCAAAGCTCCCCTCAATGTAATCCCCTGTGCATACCAGACAAATGTTGCACTATGTTCTGGAGAAATATAAACAACAATTATAAATAATAAAAATATGAATGTTTTGATTTGTAAAAAATGTATGTGGCTTTCATGTAGTAACATTAGTCGAATATATGTAAGGGATAATGTATAGTACGCAGGTCATTATCGGAAAATAAGTACTGACAGGGCGAAGCGGACGCCCCGACAGAACCGGTGTTCTGTCGAGTTGGTCTGCCCGTTGAGATGATCTGGCTCAGCTGTTAATGATGTAATGCAAACCTGCGCATGCGCGTCTCACGGCAGCCGAAGCAATCCAAGATGGCGGACATGTAGTCCGCGAATTGCTTTAAAAGTTAAATACGAACGAATTAAGACACGAATGTAACTTTTAATGCAATTTGAGGCGAGATGTCGATGGTTCCATGTTGTGATATGTGTGTTTTAAGAGTAACAGTTTTGTGTAAAGTTGGTTTTAAGCAGTACCCTGCTCCTGTGAAACTACACTGCTGCTGTGTGATCGCAGTCCCTGAGTTGACTGCTGCATACGCGTCAGGCCCATGACGCGTCCTGTGGCTGGTCTGTCGGGTTGATAATGGAAATAATAAATTAAATTTTATGCATTTATCATACTGTATTCAATATGATTAAATTAGTGTGTTCAAACGAAATATTTAATTAGATCGAGTTTTTTTCCCCCATTCTGGCGGGTTTCTGCGCATGCGCAAGTCAGATTTGGGCACACTAGCAGTGTAGTTTCACAGGATCAGTGGACTGCTTAAAACAAACTTTACACAAAACTCTTACTCTAAAAACCTATCACATATCACAACGCGGAACCATCAACATCTCGCCTCAAATTGCATTAAAAGTGACATTTGTGTCTTAATTTGTTCGTATTTAACTACGTGTCAGCCACGTAGATAAATACGTGGCTGACACGCGTCTCAATCCAAGATGGCAGACTACGTGTCCGCCATCTTGGATTGAGACGCGCAGCGCTGGTTTGCATTACATCATTAACAGCTGAGGCAGATCATCTCGTTATAAGATATAAGGACCGGTAAAACGTTTTGAAATTGCATTCAAATCAATGGAGCATTCTGCTGCTGCTGTGAGGAACCACATGGATGGATACATGACTCTACACAGTCATGTATCCATCTACATTGTAGTCAGTTTAAATGAACATAACACCAGCCTGCCCAGGGACTACAGGTGGAAATTAGCATCTTTGCTATAATCTGGTACATGCATCTCTCCTTTTGTGTTAATGCTTAACTGTACACTGTCCCTGTTCAAATAAAGTACATACAACCGTGTAATATAATATATAATTTAGTTTTTAAGTGACCCCGTGGACCCACAAGAAACCCCACTTTGGGAAGCACTGGTCTCGAGTTTTAACTTTGAATCATACAACCCTCTCTATAGCTACTTGCCATTCTCTATAGAACCATTTTGTAAAAATGTATGATAAGTGCCTATTTTCTGTCTCTTCACTGGTATAAACATCGTCATCTCAAATGTAAAAGTTGCATCTAAAGTTGTTTTAATTTACCTCGGCCCCTCTCAGTCTCTCGTTCCACTGCTGTTCACTAGTGCATTATTCAGAGACACAAACTCTCATCGCATCATATTTTAATGGCACATCTTGCGGCCGCGTGTCCCGCTGTGGGCCCAAGAGGCTTGTTCCTCTTGTGATGCTCATTGCTTTCACTGGTGGGATCCTGCTCCAGTTCTGTCTGCTGTGTGTTGGTCTCCACTCGACCGTTACTGGCCTAATTCTGCAGGCGTTCCGTTTCCTTACTATGTCCTGTCAAACTTGCTGTAATCCATCTTCTTCTGCACTTCTTTGACCTTCAAGTCCACATTTAACTCGGCCTATCTCCTGGCCCACTTTTCCCAATGTTTTCCGCCCCGGCTCACGTCTGTTGCTTGTATAGTATCGTGCCGTTGCAGGCTATAGCACACGTTCGTGGCTGTTTTCTTCTGCTGCCCTTGAGCAAGTCCTTGTCAAATCTAAAAGGAGGAGAGGTCAGATAGTAGTTGTCTTGCTGTCCATCTTTATGTAATTGTTGTGGAAGGACAAATGGATTTCTTTTATGTTAATTTAGAATGGATAGTTAACTGAAGCAGGCTTTTAATCTATTTTGGTTCCAATCAGATTGCATATCAGTGTTTTTACTTGACTTTACGTTTGGCAAGGGTAACACAACATTCATAATTCCTTTGGACATTTGTTGCATGCTCTTTACTAGGGATCTAATAAAAACTGTAACACACTGTACTTTTTAATAGTAGCTGCGGCTGCCAAAAGCCTCTGTAGGCTGACAAGACATGGGCTCGTTCTGATCTGATATGAAATGAATCCTCCCTGTTCAGAGAGATCCCTAATACCTGGTGGCTGGTGTTAACAGCAGCTAAAGTTACTGAGCGGTTTCCGGGCAGACGCTCTGAGCCAGACCGTGGCTCTAGCTGGGATATGTCGACACTCATGCACTGCAAATCTTCCCTTCACAGATGCACAGATCTAGGCAGACGCTTGTTGTTGCTTAAAAGAAGCTTTACGAGAAACATTTCTAGCGCAACTCGCATCATGGTAGTTATTTCTGTTCCCGGCCAACTGACACCCCGACAGCCAGCCCCACCTCTGCAATGCGCACCGCCTTCAGGGTCTGACTAGTATCCAATGCAGGCTTAATGAAGGTAGCGACATCTTTGTTATTTCTTTGACGGGTGTGAATTTTTTGCCTCTCCAGCAGACTTTTTTTTTTTTTTCTCGTTTGTGGTCAGTGACACAGTTGCAGCCAGCTCAGGCCTAAACGCACAAGTCCAAATCATTTGGTGTAGCGGTGTCGCGGTCTATATTAAGAGCTGGTCTCTGCAAGCAGCAGCTGATCCAGGGCAGACGGAGCGACTGGCTGACCCCGTGGACAAAATGAGTTGTTTTAGGTGACATGAGGTCAATCGGCTCTAAGCCAAGCAAGTTTAAAGCTCGTGTGACGGGTTAGTCAACTTGTTTCACAAAGCTGGTTTTGACTCAATGTTCTTTAGTTTTCTTTAGATTTGATAATGTTGTATTTAACGTGACTTCCTGGTTGGACATGGGCTGCAGATGTGACACAGGTAGAGGTAGTTACCATAGCAACCACAAAGTAACTCTACCTCACACAATGGTTATTGAATGTAAAAAGTAAAGTAAAAATGTCCACAAAATTAGAAAGTTGTTAAAAAGTCCAATTACTTCTGAAATTGTTATAATATACATGATTGACTCACAGCTTGTCCAAACCCCAATTTAAACTTTTAACATTTTAAGTTGATTTACAGAAATAAATTAACTTTTTAGTTTCAATTGTGGGTTGTTGGATGCAGAATTTTTTTTTTTTGTTTTCTTGTGAGTGATATGTTTTTGTAGTTAGAGGGACATTTTGGGTCTGCATCTCTTCCTGTAAGTTTTCAAGCCGTTTCAAACTGTCGCTGAGCTTACATGGCTTTAAGTGAAGTTATTTTTCAAATGGAGAAAATGGATATTTGCACGCACGCAAGTTTCTCATCACACAGATCATTGATAGTATAAAACAATGTTATTTAGGTGTTGGGATCTTACCTCACTGTATATGTATTTGAAAGCAATGCCCTTGTGCTTGTACTCTGGTAGTTGTGGCCGCTCCCCTGCTATTCTTGGGCCCACCTGTTACCCAGACCCACAAAGCTTTTCTGAAAAAAGTCCCTGCCGTCTTAATGTCATTGTTATTTTTCCCTCTGCCGTGAACTGACCTGGCTCTATGTGTGTCCGAACAGGCTACCCCCCTCTCCCCAGCAGCCTGTACTCCAGCCCATACCTGTCCCTGGGGCACCTAGACGCCGCACCGCTCTCTCATCAACACCCACTCTACGACTCTCATAAAGGTCAGTCCTCAACACGAGCAGAACGGACTTTAATACATGACAGACGGCGTTTGAGGTGTTTGCTGGTGCTCGATAGGAAAACTGCCATTGTCCTAACAGAGATGGATATTGAGTTGGATTATAGCATCACCAAATGTTTTGTCTCTCCACACGCTTTCAAGGGTCATTTATGGGGAAATTTGAGAGCACTATTTTTCTATCTGGTAGATGTTTAGACACCACTAATAACGCAGCCTTATCTTTAGCCGGGTCTTTGCACACAATGAGAACTATTCAGGGAAAGGCCGACAACAATACAGCAAAACTACATGGAAGTGTACAGCTGGCCCCCGTGGTCATGTGATCTTTGGGGGAGTCACTAAAATCTTGCAATTTGGTTGCTATTTCAAAATACTAGTTTCAAAATACAAACATTGATTTGAAGGTGAAATGTCATTATTTGCCAATTTGAGACTTCCTTAACAGTTCTTGGTCTAAGCTGTAGTCTGAATTTAGGAAAAACTATATAGTTCAGATACAGGATAAACAAATGTATATTGGGCAAAAAAAAATTTGGACGAAGGGCCCCAACTCTCCCTATAAAGATGGAACTGTATTTGCAATAAGGTCAATGTATATTTTATTTGTGTTTAGAGGGATATTACCTGCCATCGTCACTCGGTAGTCTCCACCATCATCCACCACCTTCCGCTCTCCCGTCCAGCTCCACCCCGCCACAGAGAACCTCCCGGGACAAGCCCCACAGAGCGGAGAGGGAGAGGGACCGATCCAGAGACGATCTGCGGCCTCAAAGTGTGGTGGATTTGACTCAGGACAGCAGGGGGGAAGAAGAACGGAGGAGGAGCAGCGATCGGGATGCAGACAGAGACTCGTGGGTGGTCCACTCTCATCACAGCCATCCAAAGTCTTCAGGAGAGAGCCGACCAAGACCATCACCTCCACGTCCTCATGGCTCTTTACATAGACTGCATGGAACAGAAACGGACAACTATCACTCTAACATCTCCAGCTCTGAAAGACAACGGAGGAGTGAGTCTGTTGCGAGCTCAGCTGGGCCTCTCCACATGTCCTACGGCCTCCCTCCTCCTTTATCGACATCCAGAGAGTCTCTGAAAGAGCAGCGGGTGACTGCGCCGACGTATGTGCCTTCTGTGGAGGTTTACGACGAACGGGCAGGTCCTATCCAGATCGCCTCTCAAGCCCGGGACAATAAACACAGTGACAAACACAGAGAACAGGACAGGGGAGGAGAGAGGGGCCTGTCTGAGCACCTTCGCCTTTCCCAGTCCAGCGACAGCAATCATAGGGAGGAGGGCTCTGTCATCTGTTCTAATGGGCTCAAAAAAGGACAGGACACCTCAAGTCAATCAAGGTTCAGCCCTGAAGCCAGAGACATTCCCAAACACTCGCCTCGTCTTTCCTCAGAGCGAGCAAACCTAGATTCAAAATGGAAAACAATCAGCCCGTTGGCGAACTATGCTACCAGTCACATGGCTGCTCTCGCAGCCCAGCACGGACATGCACTTTCATCTCCCCACAGCCCAGCCTCCCAACTGCACCACTCTCCTCACGCAGCACACAGGCCTCGGGTCAACTCTAGTCACAGCCACTCCCCCCACACGCCAAGCGAGGAGAGCACTCCGAGGCGATACCTGGACCCCTCCACGCTTTACAGGCCTGGGGCAACGCTGGTGGGGGGGGCTGGCAGTGGAGAGCGAGGAGGGGATGCTTCTGAGGTCTCAGCCATGCAGAGCCTCATTAAATACAGTGGCAATTTCAGTGCGGAAGGAGGGGGCTCCTCCAGGCTGTCGGCAGATGGCAGAGGTCCCTTCGGGGGTCTGGGGAGTTTAGCTACACAGGAACGCGAACGGGAAAAGGAGAGGGAACGTGAGCGGGACAGGGTGACAGGAGGCTCCACCAGCAACGGGGCACTACGGGTACCTCCACAGCTCAAACGGGAGCAGGAGCGGCCGGACAGCGCTCGCTCATTTGGCCGAGAGGGAGAGGGTGAGGTGCGCCACCCTCCCGTGGGCATCGCCGTGGCGGTGGCCCGACAGAGAGACAGCAGCAGCAGTAAACAGAGCAGTGGGACTGAGCCGAGAGCACACCCACCAAGCGTCAAAGGTAATGACCACATCTCATTGTGTATGTTTACCTCTTTCTCTTTTCCTCTGCGTAGTTCCAAAGATTTGTTCTGTAGGGGTAGACTCTTTGCTAAATGAACAAAGATACAAATTCATCCTCATTTTGATTTATATGAATAATGGAGGATTCATTTTCGTTAGATCAAAGTCATATTTTCATAGCGCTGTTTGACTTTGAGGTGTTCATACATATTGCGTGACTAGAATATTAAATCTATTTTCCCCATTAATATTGTCCCATAAGTCCTATGGAGGTTTTTGTGAGTGCTGTGTTATAGTTCTGTAGTGTTGGTGTTCAAGGTCACATGACTACTGTAGAAAGTTCCTTGTTTTCTTTTCAGCCATTGCTTTCTGTTCCCAGTTCAAATTCTTTTTGTCTGATTGAATGTGTCCTGCCCCGCCCCTCTGAGACCTCCTCTGTGGAGGCACTCCGCCTAGTCCCTCCTCAGGCCCCTTCTTTCAGCTCCCTCACCCCCCCAGGCCCTCCACTCTGCTACTATGCTGAGGATTTATCTGTTCCTCCAGAAAGTATATCATAAACTTAATGACAAAGCTATTCACACTGCAAATAGTATTGCATACAAGTAAGAGCCACATTGTACACATTTTATAATGTGTTTGGTGTTCGAGGATACTAATAAGTAGTATTCATGTAGGTGAATTCTAATGATGTGACAGTGATAGATGGGTTAAAATATCTACTTCAGCTACTACAGGTTGATAGTGCTCAGTCGCTCAGAGTGCCTGGTCCAATATCCTCATTCTGTTAAAAGCTATAAATAAGGCACAACATTTGGACTGAGATCAAAAACTGGGGTAGTGTGATTGAGTTGATAAGAGAGAAGCTGGTGGAAGAGGGATGGACTGATATGATAAAAGGACAAATCAATCTAATAACTGGAAAGAAAATCTGGGAGTTGAAGGACGAGACTTGGACCAGAGGTATGTGTGTGCTTGTGTTAATCGCTGGCCATGTGTAGCATGTGGGACAGACTCCCTGTAACCTTGGTAACAGTCCTGAAACCTTTGCTGCGAAGCATGTCAGGGATTGTTAAAGTCTCTTGTCCCTGCGCAGCTGCACACACAAACCGTACTGAAGGGTTCAGCACAGTTGTATTAAACCTTTCTCTCCATCTCAGCTGCTTGGGGACCTCCAGTCAGACTTGATGAGCTGGAAGAGGGTTAGCAGGAGAAGAGAGGAGGAGATCTCATGTTTATTCTGGACTGCTTCACTGCATGTGGTGTGCTGTCTGCTTGAGTGCCATTTCTTTTCTTCATAAATCTGTCGTTTGCCACTGGCTCAAGAATATGTTGGATGGGTTTATGCTGTGTGCATAGTAAGGCATTGGTGTTCACACATCACAGGGCCCTGGACTAATAAGTGATGAGAGCTGACACTGAGTGAGAGCTGTCTGTCTTGTGCTGAATTTTTCTATGGTGTAAATGCGGAGTCGTGTTCCAGGCCTGCTGTGGCTCCACATTGTAGTTTTTCTCCTCCTTGTTGTGACATCTTATCGTCACTGTCGTAGAGGTTTCATCTCGTCTACTGACAGCACAAATCCTCCAATTGTATAGTTAGAATAGTTTTTATCTCTTTACCGATGGGAACATGCTGCTAACCACCTCCTTCATACTCTTTGTGATCAAGATGAGGAGCGAGGTGAGGAGCACACGCGACATCATGACGACAGGCTGCTGGGAGGCCGGTTGGAACGAGAGCAGGAGAAAGTCCTCCGGTGAGATGCCTTTTGCACACACAGTTTGTGTCATGATAAACATGATATTTACTGATTTTGATTTGAGCTTCCTTGTTCATGTGTATTGTATATATTGTGTGGTTATAGAGAGTCCAAAGAGCTGGCAGAGTTCACTCAGATGCACCCCAGCTCTCTTCCCAGTGGGCTCACCCCCAGTATGATGACCCCCTCTCTCATGAACCCGAACCTCATGGTGACTGGAGGAGCGGGACGCTGGCCGCCTGACCCTTCATCGCTGACGTCTCACCCCTGGATGCCTCGCACCGGGGCTCCTCCAGTTTGGCTGTCAGGCTCTCCTTACGGTGCGTGGCTCTGTTAAATTGTAGGAATATTACAATATTAAGACACACACCTGCTTCTGGTAAAAGAACCATCCATTATTATGTGAGGATGTCTTGAATGCCATATTAACTCGATTATGAATGACTTCCTGAAACTAAGCTGTGGTTTTTGAATGGCTGTTCTTATAAGGGCATCTCTATTTGTGCATTTTCCTCCTGCAGCCGTCTGCATGGGTCAATTCTTGAAAACATTCCTAAACTTTGTGGGACATTCCAGCCCCACTTGTCCAACACTCCCTGCCCAAAAATAACACTAGCACACACACCAGACCTCATGTGATGAGGCGTCTTTGAACCAGACTTGAATAAGCAAAAACATGCTTAAAGCTCCCCAGGGATGCATCTGTCTAGACTCACAGAAACTAAATAAATAGTTATTGTATACTAATATCTGGAAGCATGCATGAAACTATTTTTTTTATTTTCCTCCTTTCCCTTCAGGCCTTGGACCTTCTTCTCTTCATCAGACCCTGCCACCAGCCTACCCCCCCTCTCTCGCTGGCTCTATACCTTCGCCATACCAGTTTGCCCGGGATCCCCAATCAGGACAGCTGCTTGTCATTCCAACTGAACACCTGCCACACTATGGTAGGACTTTGAATTGTTCTCGCACCTGTATTAAATACTCAAGTATGGTTTATTATCCTTATTGGATTCTTGATTTCCTGACAGATGTTTAGTAACTGCAAACAAGCCAGACAATTTCCCCGACACTCTGTCTGCCACCGTATGGTATATTAGACAAAAGATTTATTGAGCACAAACATTGGTTTTGCAAGCCACTCTTGCTTTCTAAGTAATCCTAAAGTTTAAGATGTCCTGAGGACCCCCTCGAAAACGAGATGATTCAACTCTAGAGGCTTATCTTCCAAACAAATAAATTGTGAAATTGTCCTCAGTGAGCTTAATTTGCCTCCTTCCATCAGCAGGAGGTGACATCCTGGAGCGGGGAGCCCCTGTGTGGTCGAGTGTGTACGGTACAGGCAGCTCCCTGCAGCACGCGGCTCAGCTCCAGCTCCTCTCACAGCAGCAGATGCTGCGCCAACAGGAGCTGCTCATGATCCAGCAGCACACGGCACAAGTGCTGGAGCTGCAGAGGAGCGCTCAGCTTGTCGTAAGTGCTTTCCAAAAGACCACTCAAGACAAGACACGTCATGAGGCAATGTGAATTAAGAAACCAATTCCAATTGACATTCTCTGTTTATTCAAAGTTCACCATACATCTCCTGGTCACTAATATAAGAGTATAAGATTTGCTGACTGGTCATATTGCCTACCGCCGGCCCCATCACAAATCATGTCTCATTAAAACAAAGCACAAAAGTCAAAGATTATATGAGCACCGCTGTGCAAAATTGTTTGTCTTCCTGCAAATAAACCTGAGTTTCCTGCTAATGATCCCAATTATTCATAGCAGTCAGTGTCACAGGTGTGCTGGTGTAATGGTAATGGTTTTTGTTGGGGCTACACAGGTGGACCTGACTATTATTCTCTAGTAAAACCGCAGCAGAACATTTAAGGCTCTTGTCTCTTCAAGTAACTCGGTTGCCAAGCAGCTTGAAAACTTAACTCCTATATAAGAACTACTGCAACTATTTGTGCTACTTGTAGGGCTGGTCAAGCAATAAAACTTCTGTTCTTACACTCCTTCTTTTATTACGTACGTTTTGATTTATTTAGTTGGCGATTAAGTTCCTTGAGGTGTTTTGTTGGCATTTCACATCTTACCTTTGGACAACAGTTGGAAACTTGCTGTGTAGTTAATACTGAAAAATTTACAGTAATGATTGATTAACGTGTATTATCCCTTTTTCAAATAAACTAAAACATTAATAAAATAAATAGTTATAGAATGTTGAAGTGGATCCAGGTTTTCTGCTGATCCCTCTCTGCACTTGTGGCTTGACTCTTAGCGCCTCTTCCCAACAGGAGCGGTTAAAAGCTGGTGAGCACCGTCCAGAGGTGGAAGACAAACCAGACAAGCGGAACAGTGACCCCAAACCGCCGCCGCCTCTGTCCCGCCTGTCGCCCACCACCCACCCCCGCAAATCTGCCCCGCCACCCCGCTCCCCCGCCACGCCCACCTCCGTGACTGTGCTCAAGACCGAGGAGGTGTGCTCCAGAGCGCTGTCCCAGCCGCCAACGCCTCACCCTGCCTCCCCCCACTCTGCAGCCACACCCGCCTCCTCCCCACCGCCACTCAAACGCGAACCCCAGGAGGATGTCGAGAGAGGGAGACGAGAAGGGGAGGTCCAGAAGTCTGCGTCTTACCCGGGCGTCTGCACTGGTAACTACCCAGAAACGCATCAGGGTTAATTATTGAATTTAGTTAAGAGATCACTTAAAAGCATTGGATAATACTAAACTGCTATAATTATTCTGTATAATGACTGGAATGACATAAATAGATTTGAATGAAAAAAACATCTAAAATAACAAAATTATATTTGAATATACATACTTTCATTAGGGACAGATTTATTTCAATATTTTTTCAATAAAATTTTACTTTTTTGCCGTCTAGTAGACACATTGTAAAAATTACTCACGATCAGTTGATCATCAGTTGGGAACCACTGCGTTAGAGAATGTACAATGTAATACATTTGATACATCTCCTTTAGATCTTAAATGCAGAGAACCAAAACTCCATTGATGAAGACAATATAACTAATAGTATTGGTGTCTTACAGTATGATTTTAAATGTATAAATAAAGGTTATAAATAAGAGTAATAAAATCAGTGATTTGATTACTGTTTTCAAACCCTGCAGGTTATCCATATCAGTCCATCAATGCTCCATTTGGATCTCCGTACCCCTCCTACCACGTCCCAACCCCCACTGGTCCAAGCGCAGAAGATGTGCCCCTTCACAGAGCCCTGTCTCCAGCCAAAGCAAGTCCTCTGCCCACATCCCACCTGCACTCCAGAATACTGGATTCTGATAACCAGCTGCCCAAACTGGAGTCCTCAAAAAGCACCTCTTTCTCCACTCAAGAGCCCAGTGCAGAACAACGGTATGTGACGACAGAGCCACTGGCACTCCTCAGACACACCTGCAGTTCAGGTTTAACCTTGACCGAAAGAGATGAGACAAAGCCACAACCAGTGACTTTGAAAAGCTCCAGTTCTCCTCCACTCGAACAGGACAACCCTGACAAAATCGCAGAGGAAGAGAAAATTAAAATGGAGGCGTTGCCTTACTCGTATCTTGCATATCCAGAAGCTCCTGCCCTCACAGACTCGGAACCCAAAGCAGAAGTAATCAAAGTCCCGCTGCGGTTTTCCTCGTGTTTAGCTGCAGATGCTGAAGGACCCGAAACGTCTCACAGGCCCCAGACCTCAGTGTGTGAATCTGAGCCACAGGAATTGCCAATAAACTTGCACGTTCCCATTGACACCGGCAAAGTAGACATTGTGCCTGTCGCTGCCTCCCCCCTGCCTTTCATCATCGCACCAGAAGACCCAATGTCGGGGATGCTCGCCCTGTTGGCAGCCAGTGAGATGGCCCGGCCCAGCACGCCACTAGCTCCACCTCTCACACCAAAGATGGAGAACTCTCTTACAATCGGTGAATGCGACTTGACTGGGACTTTGGAGATGGTTGCTTTGGAGGGAATGGCCCTGCTGAGCCAGATGGCACAGCAAGAAATGGAAAACATCAGCTGCATGGAGCAGGGTAAGTCTCTGTTAAGATACAGTGGGGCAATCCAAATATTTAGTCAGCCACCACTTGTCCAAGTTACAGAGGCCTGTAATTTTCATCATAAGTATACCTCACCTCTGAGAAATAGAATGACAAATTTTTTTCCCCATAAAATCACAGTCTGGTTTGTCTCAAATAATGTATTTGCAAATCATGGTGGAAAATAAGTATTTGGTCGATAATAAATCTCAATACTTTTGTTGGCAATGACAGAGCTCAAACCTTTTCTGTAAGTCTTCACAAGGTTATCACACACTGTTGCTGGTATTTTGGCCCATTCCTCCATGCAGATCTCCTCTAGAGCAGTGATGTCTTAGGGCTGTCGCTGGACTGCCTGTCACGATATAAAAATTTGTTGGACAATTAATCGTCCCAGAAATTATTGCGATAATATCGTTGTTCTGAGATAATTTTCATCTAATAAAATGATAATGATGCAGGTACACCTTTTCAAAGAGAATCAAACTTTTATTTTTAAAGACTACCGCTGGAAGTGGCGGAAGTAGCGGGCGGGCTTTGATGCTAACGGATTTAAGCTAGCGGGTTGTTGTGTAAAGTTATTATCAAAGAATGCAGCTCTGCAGCGTCTCTTTGTCCAGAGACTTTATATAACAGCAGTATGTGTTCACGGACGTGTGCCATACGTTTATTTTATTATTAAACGGTACTTCTGCATCGACGAACACGCTAGCTGCACTAGTTTAGTCACTACTAGAGCCTGACAATGACAACTACTGTGTCCCCCATTGTCTGGTTAAGTCCTGGTTTAGATCCTGTTTCGGCTGTATTTTGTATTTTCTTGTATTTTCAGTCTGCTCGCTAGACCGCTAATGTTCCTGTGACCACTTTGCGGCTCTCTGACCCGAGAGAGAGAGAGAGAGAGAGAGACGGGGAAAACAAACAAGCATGCAAATGGAATTTATCGCGGCCAGAAAAATGATCAAGCTAATTTTAATTATCACGCGATTAATTGATTTATTGAATATTGCGACAAGCCTAGCTGGTCAACACAGACTTTCAACTCCCTCCAAAGATTTTCTGTGGGGTTGAGATCTGGAGACTGGGTAGACCACTCTAGGACCTTGAAATGCTTCTTACAAAGCCACTCCTTCATGTGGGTGTGGTTGCGGTGTATGTGGGATCAGCCATGTTTCATCTTCAATGCCCTTGCCGATGGAAGGAGGCTTTCATTCAAAATCTCACGATACATGGCCTCTTCATTCTTTTCTTTACATGGATCAGTTGTCCTTGCTGCAAAGGGACCAGGACAACTGATCCATGGCCTCTTCATTCTTTTCTTTACATGGATCAGTTGTCCTGGTCCCTTTGCAGCAAAACAGTCCCAAAGCATGTTTCCGCCCCCATGCTTCACAGTATGTATGGTGTTCTTTGGACGCAACTCTGCATTCTTTCTCCTCCAAACACGACAAGTTGAGTTTTTACCAAAAGGTTTTATTTTGGTTTCATCTGACCATATGACATTCTCCCCATCCTCTTCTGGATCATCCAAATGCTATGTTGCAAACTTCAGACGGACCTGAACATGTACTGGCTAAAGCAGGGGACATGTCTGGCACTGCAGGATCTGAGTCCCTGGCGGTCTACAATTGTTTCTGGTGTCTTTTGACAGCTCTTTGGTCTTGGCCATAGTGGAGTTTTGAGTGTGACTGTCTGAGGTTGTGGACAGGTGCCTCTTAAAGAAGGAGTTACAAGTCAGTAAGAGCCAGAAATCTTGCTCGTTTATTGGTGACCAACTACTTATTTTCCACCATAATTTGCAAATAATATAATAAGATTTTCTGGATTTTTTTTCTCATTCTATCTCTTATAGTTAATGTACACAAATTATGGAAATTACAGGCCTCCCTCATCATTTTTAGTGGGAGAACTTTTGGTGGCTGACTAAATACTTTTTTGCCCCACTGTAAGTTGAGGGAAGACTTTTGTGAGATTTGAGGAGAGCCAGACAATGCTGTAACTTTGCTAACTATATTTTGTATTTCCTGTCCAGATGGGACCTTGGAGAGTCTGGATTGTTTACTGGAAGCAAGTCGACAAATACTGTTGGAAGCCATTGAGAAACAGTCTCACATTCAGCTACCCCGAGAGTTGGACCCAAACAAGAACTACAGCTGGAGGCAGAGGAAGGAGGAGCCGGTAAGATTACGGCACCAACAATTATTGTCATTTTCATGTCAGCAGTTAAACCGGCCCCTTTCTTAATCTACATGGCATGTGATTCCTTGCAGCTGTTTGAAAAAATGTCAGTGGACGTCCTAGATGCGTTTGAAGTGGAGTATCGGGTTCGTCTAGCAGAAATACAAAAGACCTACAAGGATAAACAGCGGGAGTTCAGCAAGCTGCAGCGGCGCACCGACAAGCAGTGAGTGACGTTTTCAACATTTATTACCAAAGGATGTTATTACGGCATTCCTAACAGAGCACCTCACACAATCTCTACTTTTGCTGTCAGTGAGCGCCTGCACGATGACGACAGGCGGAGTCTGAGCCGCAGGGGCAGAGGAAGACCCAGGAAGAGAAAGATCGTAGCTACGCCCCACAAACTGGACAGCAGGCCTGCCAAGTGAGCGCTCTTCTTGTGACAAAATCCCAACACAGAATGACATAATGTGACGAGTCTGCTTCCGTTGTAGGGTTGGGAGAACTGTGCAATACTCGGAGGACTCTGAGGCCGGGGAGGGACAGAGGAAAAGGCTTCGGTTGTCCAAAGAGGACGTGGGGGCAGAGCCGGGGCATGGGGGAGTCAAGATCAAGAAGAAGAAGAAGAAAAAGAGCTGGAAAGATCAGGCCTCGTCTGGTTTGGAGGTATGACGCGATTGTACTCTTAACTGTTTTCAGAGTGGGAAGAGGCAATGAGATGTTTTGTTTGTTGTTGTGTCATCGTCAGGTCCTAAAGACAAAGCCCAGTCATTTGTGTGAACAGGAGCAATTGGCGTCTGATCTCAACAGGGCTCTTTCCTTCTCACAGCTCGGCTCACTGAATTCATCACACAAACTCGTCTCCAGTAAAGTGTCAAAAGGAAAGTCCACTGAAAATCCTCTAAAGGAGCGCCGCATCCATGCCTCAGTCACAGGGACAAAACAGATGATGAGTGGCAAGAAGTATTCTGCAAAGAAGGTGAAGAACCAGAAGAAGAGACCTGTGTTCTCCCCATTGAGATCGGAGCTCAGCAGCTGCTCAAACAGTGAGTGACACAATCATCATGTATAATGTGGTCAGAGTGTGCCCCCCCCCCAGTTATTATAACCTGTTTTTTTGTTTTTGTTTGTTAACAACTCAACAAGTTATGGCCTGATTATAGTTAATTATTCAGTGAATGTCTGGATTGGGACAAGGAACAAATTAAAAGATGTGATGAAGTAATGTGACTGTGCCTCTTGCAGGAGGTGTGTGGTCCACAAAATCCCAACCAGAAAAGCATTTGTATACATTACATGCACCTTTTTTTTCTTAGATAAAATTCTACTCGTTATGGTCCTTTAACGATCCTTGAGGATTTTCAGATATTCATTGCCTATAAAACTACATTAAATTATTAATATACCAGATTAGGCCAAGATGCAATTTGACGGTGCCTCTAAATTATGAACTTTTCTTCTCCCAGACTCTGATTCCGAGGAGCATGTTTCGTCCCGAGGGGGCTGGCCCCCAATGACAAACTCCTGTGACGACGGGACTAGGAAGAGGAAGCCCGCCACACCCCCACCTTCACTGCTGTCCAGTAAGAAGTCTGAGAAGAAGAAACACAAGCACTTATCCCTGCTGCTGGAGGAGGCGGGCCTCAGCTCCTCTGACGACTCATTTGACCAAGGTTACTGACGTAGAGCAGATCTAATGTCAAACGTCTTTGCTTTTGTTGAAGCACCTTCTGGACTCTGATTTAGCTCGACAATTTCTACCTCATTGCTGCTGGCATCTCTATGAAGTTGCCTTTTTAAAATAGGAAACGTATATCTATGGTGCTTTTATATTTCCTGGATTGCAACCCAATTTGTAGCATTTGTACATTTGAAAATTGTGTGAATTTGTGAGATTTTTCTTAAAGTTGTAATGCAGTTTGGTTACAAATAAGATTTATTAAAGGTGTGGATTTGATTGGTACAGAAAGCAAAGCGCTGTGGTCCTTTTGTCTGCTTCATCTGTCTCTGTCTGTCTGCACTCCACACATCCTTTAATGGCTCGTTGTCAAATATCCCGCCAGAATTCAAAACTAGATAGAAACTTGTGACATAAGATTTCGCATGACTGTGTGTTCAAATCAGCTTGGTGAAATTGTAGCATTATCATAATTTTTTTTTAGCAAAGGTAATGTTTTTGTGGGTGGTTGTGTTGAGAAATTTACGTTATGGTCTGAATGTTGAGAAGAAGACCTCACTTCTCAGGTTGTCCCCTGGGATATTTGCACAATGGAGCTTTGTCTACTAAACCCTCAAGTAACCCTTTCCCTTGCGTTGCTCTGACACCTTGCTCTGTCCTCTCACTTTCCCTCTTCCTCTCCCCTGTCCCTGTCCTACTCATGATGCTTTAAGTGTCTCTCAGCCTGTCCCATGAGCTTGTGCTGATGCTGCCACGACATTACAGAAGCTTGGCCAGGACTAGCGCAGCCTTGAGCCTATGCTACCTCGCTTATAGCTCGTCTATGCTGTGGCCCAAGCTCTGCAAAAGCTAGACTGTGCTAAGGCCTGGCCATGCTATGGCGAGGCTGCGCTCTCGCCGCTGCACTGCCCAGCCCCGCCCTGTGTGAGGCCTCACCCTGTCACCTGTTATTGAGTAAGTAGGAAGTGCCCCTCCCTCTATTCTTTATTGACCTCCTAACATGAAAGAAACTGAATTCACAAAGTTCTTTTTTATTTCACCATTCTCACTAAAATCAGCACTGAGGACTGTGAGTACCTCCTGTCTAGAACATCCCACTTCTGGGGTGGGACAGGACTGTAACCATGGTCATTTAAATTTCAAGTGAGCGTTATATAACCAGGGGCCTCACAGGGCTGACCTCTCAGTGCCTGCTTGTCTGCTTGCTTTGTTAACACCGTGGATGCACCGTACTCATGTTTATCTGTTTATCTAGAATCCATGACTGTATGACAAACCTTTTGTCTGTCCATGAATCTAACATTAACTATTGAACATGTGTTCTACAACATGTACTGTGCATCTACCTTCCATGTTAACAGCCTAACCTCTGAGGAGCTGCTCCTCCTGTTTATCTGTTGACTACAGCTACTTACTAACAGCCCAAACACCAAGTGTATCTTTGTGTGAGCGCTTTGTGTTTTATGTGCTGTTGTAGCCTGTCAGACTTTTTACTTTCCTTTCTATATCAAAGCTGCAGCTTTAAATAATACATGATATCTGGGCTCTAAAGGCTCCAGAGGCTGTGTGCTTCAGTGCATGTCTTAAATCTCAGTTTTTCTGCTGTCTCTTGGCTCTACACTATACAGTTACTGACGTCAGGAGCACTGGTGTGAACTGTAGGGTTAACACCTCTGACAGGGACTAGCCTCATGTGCATCTGTTTTGCTTCATAATAAAGTGCTTTAACTTTGTTTTAGGTTAAGGTGGTTGTGCTCTGTCACCCTTTTTGTCCCTGTTTTGTGTTGGTGGATGATGCACTTTGGTCTATATTTACACCTTTGATGCACTGGTCTATATTTAATCAAGAAAAAGTGGTCTGATTGTTTTTGTCTAAAAACAGAAAGTTCTGAGGATGATTCGTACTCTGATGGTGTCTGTGATGAGACCGGACTGGGACTTTTAGCCAGGTTCGCTGCCAGTGCTCTCCCCGTCACATCTCCTGCTCTGGGCCTTCTTCACCATGGCAAACAGCGCAACCGACAAGCTACTCTGGGTATGTGTGACCATCAGCCCAATGTCTATTTAGATCTACTGTTTATATCGTTTTTGATGTATGGTCCTTTCCACTTTTTTCATCCACTAGTTACATTGAACTATTTAAAACAAACAGCATCCATTCCCAGCAGTAAAATATGAGATCAAGGGGAGTCATTGTGGGTATTTCTGAAGTAGCATGTTAATGATCCGTAATTAAATATTTACCATTATTTAATTGTCGCATCAGGGTAATTAATCTCTTGTCTTAAATTATGTATTAGTTTCTGATGGATAAATATTCCATTCACAGCCGTAGCCTTATTGATTGGAGATGTCACGTGAGAGTCTCGTACTGGTCCAATTTTCAAATGGTGCTTTTGTCTTTCGCAGGCTCCTCTGAGTGTGAGTGGTCAGACTCTGAGCTGCGGATGAGAAAGTTTCCCTCTCTGCTTCATGGCAAACGCTCTGCTCCAGAGCTCCCCTTGTTGCCTCCTGCTACTCACCGCATCAACCGCTTCCCGAGTCCCACAAAGAGAGATGAGTCCATCAAACACAAGGCTCTGTCCAAGCCCAGGTCTCCACGGAGGTTCAGCTTTGAACAGGCCAGTGGTTCTGGCTTCGGAGGCTTCAGTGAAGATGAGAACTGGAACCGCCGCCGAAGTGAGAGGATATTCCTCAACGATGCCACAACTTCAACCAATCACGTGCCTGCATCATCCTCCATGTCGACCAATCCAACCACTTCTGCGGTTTCTAGCGCCTCCCCCACTCTTTTGCTGAAGCCGGCCTGCAGACCAAAACCGGCACCAAACCGAGAGGGAAAAGAGCCAGTGAAAGTATGTCAATAATTAATGGTTGTTTTTCACCAGCCAGCTGCAAAGCACTAAACATTAGCACCTTCCCATTTCCTCCTGCACCCCTGTCCTGAATGTGGATCCAAACTTTCATCATCTCTTTGAAAGTGTGTGTGTGTGTGTGTGTGTGTGTGGGTGATTATGTGCGCACATGTGTCACAATGCCAGCAGGGCTCTCAGTACATCAGTCACTGCAGTCCTCCCCTGCTGCCTCTCCCATATTGCTGACAAGAAAGGACAACTGCAGGCTGCTACAAGCATCCCACCGTGCGTGCGTGTGTGTGCGCGCGCATGCGTGTGTGCGCATGCGTCCAAATGTTGTCCTTAAACACTTAATTGCATTTGTTCTGTCTTTATTAAACAGCAAAAGAAGAAGCTGAAAGAGTCTCCTCTCCCTTTGAGTCCGTCTACACTAACTTCTCCAGTCGCAGACATTCCTGTGCCGCTGAGCCTCAGTCCAGTGCGAAAAAGCCAGCCCAAAGCAAAGCCCAAGGCCAGAGAAGTGAGTAGGATAACCTTACCACTATTCAGATCCGACACTCGTCTTGACATTGGGATAAAAGTTAACCACAAAATTAAGAACAAAAACCCCTTTAAATTTAATTAGAATCATTAGAATCATGTTTCAGTGTTTGCCTTTTGTTCAGTCAGAACTTTGATAATTGTGATAATGGTTTCTGTTGTGTAGCCGTCCCGAGGTGCCGTCAGCCGCCTAATGGAGAGCATGGCTGCAGACGAGGACTTTGAACCAAACCAGGACAGTAGCTTCAGCGAAGACGAGCTGCTCCCATCATGTGACAGCAGCACAGCAGAGACATCCCCTCCACCTGGTCAGAACACACACAGCTACAAGCACACACACGCAGATATAAACACACACACAGAGATACTCGCACGCACATACACACAGCTTCAGACACGGAGGTACACACACACAGGCACATCTGACCATTGTCATGTGTAATCGAATGCCTTTGCCTGCCTTGTGCACAGCTCCTGTTCAGTGTGTGCTCGACAAAGACTCTCTGGTCGATGGACTCCGGGTCCTGATCCCGATGGACGACCAGCTGCTGTACGCTGGACACGTCAACACGGTGCACTCCCCCGACATGTGAGTCCAACACTCTCTCTGCTCACTGACACTTGGACTCATTTTTCATACAATTGTTTAAATGTTTGTTTTTTATCAAAAGATAAAACATGCTGAAGTTTTATTAAGAAACGGGCAACCAAAATTGGTCAATCCGCCTGACATAATGTATTGTTAATTAAGAATAACTCCACTCTAAACTTTTGTTCAGATTAGGCCATATATAACACCTAATTGATGTCATTCAAAAATCAGACATGGGTCTAACTTAGATTTAGAATATTGTAAAAAAAATCCATTTACTTCTGCAATTCAACAATTCACAAGTTCATAAGTCCATAAGTGAGATACATCAAGCCTTTAATACAAAGTTGGTAATTGGGTCACAGCTGTAAAAACCCCAAATAAAAAAGTAATATAAATATATACACACATTTTAACAACAGCTTGTCTCTCTCACAGCTATAGCGTGGTGGTGGAGGGCGAGCGAGGGAACCGTCCGCACATCTACTGTTTGGAACAACTGCTGCAGGAGGCTGTGAGTGTGACACGCACACACTACATGCAGCTCATTCTGCTGCAACTCTGACTGGGTTTCTGTGCAGATCATTGACGTGAAGCCTGTGCGCTACCTTCCAGAGGGCACTCGCATCGCTGCGTACTGGAGCCAGCAGTACCGCTGCCTCTACCCGGGCACCGTGGTCAACGGTATGACTGCTACACACAGCTCTCACAACAAACATTTTATTTTATGGTTAAGTTACATTAGTCTCTATTCAACCAACATTCTATCTGTTAATTTTAGGAAATTCAGACATTGATGAAGACGACAATCTCATCACTGTGGAGTTTGATGACGGAGACACAGGTCGTATCCCTCTGTCCCACATCAGGCTGCTGCCCCCCGACTACAAGATCCACTGTAAGCTAATGCTTACTTACAATACTTACAATAATGTATGCTAATCATTTAGAATTTTCCAAAAAGCACAACAGAACTTGAAAAAGTTGCGCTAAAACATAAAACCACAAAATAACACATGATTAAATAGATAAAATAGGTTTGGAATGCGGCTCAGGGAGTTGCCTAAACCAGGTCAAGAATGACCTCATTGTGTTTAAATAAGAAAACATTTGAAAAACGGTGATCCTAAAGTCCACATGCTGTTTGCCATTTCCCCCAAGGAAACGGCAAAGTCCTGCTCTTCCTGTCGACATAATGAAAAACACAAAGCTCTGGTTAAAATCATTGAACCATAAATGTTTATGGCCCTTGTTTGGTTCCAGGCGCTGAGCCGTCCCCTGCTCTGCTTGTGGCCAGTTGCTCCCGGAGGAGAGTCCGCAAATGCAGCAAAGAGGCAGCACCTAAAGCAGACGACAGCGCTCCAAAGATTAAAGGGAAGCCTGGTCGCAAACCCAAGTCCAAACCAGGTGAGCAATAAACACATGTCTACAATGAGCTCACTGTTTCAGGACCTGCTAATCAGACTCATCAGACTCAAGGGCCTCATAATGAAGAGACAATTTTTGTCTGTGCTACTTGACTTTTCCTTTCATTTCAAAACAATGATTTATTTAAGATGTTCTTTCATCACACTTTTATTTCTTTGTCTTTTTGACGGCTCTATATTTAAGTGACCATTATCCAATATAAAAAGACTATATTTGTGAAGAACGACTGAAATAGCTCAAAGACTGCAAACAAAGTGGATCGCACATTTCCTGTTTGACCATTGTGGTCATTTGATTCATGGAGGGATTTGCTCAAGCAGCCATTTTGTCTGGTAGCGTGTTGCCACAGCTGTGATGTATGGCATGTTGCGTGTGTGATTTGCTGACGCTAGCCTTATTTTGTGTTAGTAAGCACTTCATAAATGCGGTGGTTTTCATTCCAGAATAGTTTCCTAGTTGATTTGACTGCAAATTGTAGCCGTTGAAAAATCATCAAACTACAAAGTGAAGGCCTCAGCATTTCATCAGCGACCCAAAGGCAGCTGAGTAGATAACCAGTTTTATCTGTTCTCTTTAGAGACCGTCCTCTGCCAGGAGAGTCGTGAGAAGACCGATGCTTCTCCTCTGCGACGCCCATCTGACGGGCCTCCTGCCAAACTGACACAAGACAGGACGCCCTCCACCCCAAAAGTACCTCCAGACAAACCACGGCCTGCATCCCGCCCCAGCATGGACGTCCAACCTAAGCCCAAAAGCAAGAGCTCCTCTTCCACACCCACCTCCAGCCCCACACTCGCCAGCCCTGTGCCCAGAAAGGAAACCCCCAAACCCACTCGCGCTCTCCCCTCATCGCTCTACCCTTCCACCTACGGCAAAGTGCTCACCGTGGACCTGTACTCCGAACCCAATCTGTCAATGTACAACAACCAAAGGAGAGACAAAGGCAGCGCTCTGACTCCAGCTTCACATCGGCCCATTCCCAAACAGACCGCATCCAAGCCCACTATCGCTTCTAATCACAAACCTTTGTCCACTTCCAAAACTAAACCCTCCAAAGAAAACCACAGCAGACCCAGCCATAGCTCTGCGCTCGTGTCCAGCTCCATCAAGAGACTCCCCACAACCAAACCCACATCCATAAATAGGCCGTTGTCCCTCTCCTCATCGCCTCGCCCCAAACTGAAGGTTCCCTCCGACCAACTCGCTTCTAGAACCAACTCTTTGCCCAGACCCAATTCCAGCTCGACCCAGAATACGCCGAGACGCAAGCCATCCGCAGAGCCTCTGGTCAAACTGGACCACGAAGGAGTGACGTCGCCCAAAACCAAGAAGACCAAACTCATGCTGCTGGAAGGGCGAGGTGTGAGGCGGGACCACACCCCACTCCCCACCGCCAGTCCAAAGCCACCGAAGCCAAAAGTGAGAGACAGCGATCCAATTGAAAAAGACGTATACAAAGCACCGGTCCTCGCTAAGGAAAAAGCAGACGTTATTGCTAAGGGTCCGACAGCGGAGAAGAGGGAGGAGAAGGTGAAAAGGGAGGAGGTAAAGCAGGAATCTCCGAGCAGCAGTAGCTCGGACTCTGAGGAAGAAGGCGGCGAGGACAAACTGAAGAAGAAGAGAAAGAAGTGCACGTCAAGCTGCTCTTCCTCGTCGTCGTCCTGCTGCGGCTCCTCCTCCTCGTCCTCTTCGTCCTCGTCTTCATCGTCCTCGTCCTCCACTGATGACTCCTCCTGCAGCTCGGATGAAGAGAGGAACCCCAGCCCCCCGCCTGGCCCTGTGAGCCCACCGCCCGCACAGGACAAGGCCAAAGAGGAAGCCAAAGAAGAGCCCAAGGTGGAGGTGAGCTTTTCAATCGTTCTCTACACAGGGAGATTCTAACTATCTGTACTTAAGCCTGCTTCTTTTGGATGACATAAACTAGATTATGAAGAATTGTTATTATTAAAATCTAGTAGCGTTTCTCATTTTGATTCATTCAGAACTATTTAATTTCCATCTTCAGGTGAAAAAAGAAAAGGACGTGAAAGAAGAGTTCATTCCTACGGAGTCTGCCTCCGACTCTCCGACAACCACAGACCCCGCCCCGGCTAAAACAAACAAGCCCACCACAGGGAAGGGCTCTGGACAAAGGGGGCGGCCCCCAAAGCAGAAAGCAAGCGGAGCAGAGGTCAAGGCTGGCCGACCCAAGCGCAGAGACCACCTCCCCACCACCAAGGAGCTGGCCAAGCGGCAGAGACTCCCCAGTGTGGAGAACAGGCCTAAGATCTCCGCCTTCCTCCCTGCCAGACAGCTCTGGAAATGGTTTGGGAAACCCACTCAGGTAAGAGGTCCTAAACATAAACTCTACTCTTGCTACAACATCAGTCTTTACACTGTGCACTAGAGCGTACTGCATTGGATCCAGTGATCTAGAAACGTGCTCCGATGAATGAATAAGGATGCTTTTATATAAATCAAGTTGGACGTATAGCTTCAAACGTGCACAATGTGATGGTTTCCTAAGCCTTTTCTAAAAAAATCTACTTGTGTTGAAGTATAAGCAGATGGCAGTTCTTTCTGCATGAAGGCTTTCTGCCATGTAGTATATTTTAATCCTTGATGCTTTATTTATCTTCTGCTGCTTGTAGAAAGGCTGACATTTTGCTGCAATGCTAATGTAAACCATTACATCATCTTGGCCCCACAGAGGCGCGGCATGAAGGGCAAAGCCAAGAAGCTCTTCTACAAGGCCATTGTCCGCGGGCGGGAGATGATCCGCATTGGGGACTGTGCTGTGTTCCTGTCGGCCGGGCGTCCCAACCTGCCGTTCATCGGCCGCATCCAGAGCATGTGGGAGTCCTGGGGCAGCAACATGGTGGTCCGCGTCAACTGGTTCTACCATCCTGAAGAGACCAACCCTGGGAAGAAGCTCATTGACAAAAAGGCACGCTGCTGAAACGTAAGCACAAATGTTTTCAAATGTACATTTCCTCATGTTTCCTTTTCTGTAATAGAACTGGGACCAGATGTGCGGCCAGTCCATCCCCGCTGCTCTGCACTCCACTATTCAGAGGAGAGACTTTGTGGAGGTAAGAAAAAAGGTTTAGGAAAAGTCTCTCAAAGTATTATTCTATTCACAATGCCATTTACTCTCATAGATTGTATTATGTCTCACGCACTAATTCAAATCAGAATTAGAATCATTTTTATTGCCATGTAAGTAACAGGAAGTCGCAGACTAGGAAATTGCTTTGGCTCTTGGTGCAAACAAGTAAAAAGTAGAGAAAGAAACATTTCTAAAGTATACAATTTTCTGAAATATATAAAATTAAGATGTAAAATTGACTATAAAGGGCTAGCACCATAGTAATTTTAACAATCATTTACAAAATATATCTATTGAGTGGTCAAAAGTTGTATCACTTATGAACCTGAAGCTTAAACCCTTGAATTAGTATTAAAGGTATTATTATTATTTTTTTAATCACTTTTTAAAACTACCAAAAGGAAGGGATGAGCAGGCAGACTTTAAGTACATATTTCATTACTCAACTTACTAAATTTAGGGATTTCATTGAAAATGTTCTAGTTTTTTCCAGGCATTGTTTGCATTCACAAAGTTATTTCTGCTTGTTTAGCTGTTATATAAGCAAAGTAGAGCTGTGTCCCAAGTTCAGCCTAAACTCCTTGTGTCGCCCTCAGCGCGCCCTGTATCAGTCGTCCCACAGCGATGAGAACGACGTGCAGACGGTGAGCCACAAGTGTCTGGTGGTGAGTGTGCAGGAGTACGAGCAGATGACCCACACACGGCGCTACGCAGACAGTGAGGACCTGTACTACTTGGCCGGCACCTACGAACCCACCACTGGCATGATCTTCAACACGGATGGAGTCCCGGTCATCTGCTGAGGCCCACATGGACCACATGGCCCACTGACTGGACCAGACACTACACAGTATTATCCAACTGTTTGCACACCCCGTCACCAGACACACAGCGCTAGCTCCTGGGAAAGCTACTCACAGCATTCACATGTAAATACAACTCATGGACTGATATCTGCACCACATGCATATAAATACCACAAGTAATGACCACATAGAGAATATATGTCTGTTTTATTTTCTTGTAATAGATTTAAGTCCAGAGTATGTTTTCCTCCAGAGGAAAACCATATAGAAGCTTTAAATGAACTGTGAACAATATTACTAAAACGAGTCAGTGCAACCTGTGTTCTGGCTTAACTTGTTGTGATGATGATGTTGCCATGGTGATGTTACAGTCATATTAATGTTTGGAGCAGCGATGGAGACATGACTTTAGAGGGACACTCCTTCCACTGCAACAGAGAGCACTTAAAATACTAACAATACATTTTCTTAGACAATCCTGACGAGGTTGAATATGTGTGTGCAACAAACAACTCCCTCCGAGACTCAAGCAAACGAGAGAGGAAGGAACCTGTAATACTTTAGAACTCGTGCCATCTTATGATTTCATTTAAAGGAAGCAATCCACCCTGAGAACACTATTCTATCAAAGTGAACATTTTTAAAGCTGGGTTTCCTAACTTTGAAATGAACTGTGTAATACAAACCACCTGCATGTATTCTTGTCCTCAGCTTTTTCAAACAGAAAAGTAACACCGCTAAACAGTAGACTGCCCTCACTCAGCCAATCAGCTCTTACTGATAAAGACGGTGTTTTTAATCAGGTTTTATGCACAAAATTTAACTTAAACAAGACTCTCCTGTTGAGACAAACGAGTATTTATGAAACCCAAGCACAGCTAGGTAGCCCAGCTTTAAAAACAATAACTGTAGAAGCTGCACTGTTTCCTGTGAGGAAAGTAAAGTCTTCATCACAAAGTGACTCCTGCAGCTTGTTTATTAACGGTGTGGGAGCCACAGCGGGTGGATGTCTCTTTTAAACCATTCTCAGAGCTGTAAACACTGCGGTTAGACTGGAACGCCTCAAGGCTCCAATTAAATCAGCATATATCACGTTTAAACACGAGTCCCCTGCTTTCTACATGTTTCATGATAACCGCTGTGGGTGCAGCCTGTGTCTTCTACATCTTTTACTTTGCTTTTTTCCTCTGCTGCCTAAAGCCCAAATTATGATGATCACCCTATAAGCAATTACATGACTAGAATGCACTTTGAATGAGACGCTGTGGTCTCTCTTCCTAAAGTACTTACAAACATCCTCCAATCACACGTCTGATCAGTCCTCACTGAGCTGCTTTTATTGTTATAATGTTATGTGCCTCGTGCAACTTTATTTTTGTGTTTTGGGGATTGACAGTTGAATGTTATGCTCAGGGGAGTGAGCAGTGGCCTTTAATGTCCAAGGCCTTACTTATGATTATGTTATGGATAATTCACCGAATCTGTCCTGGGTCCCGCCCCTTTGTTCTCGGAGCAGTGGCCCCCGCCGTTACCATGAGAACCATAGTTGAATGAGTCACTACTTAAACACTCTGACCTCCGTCAGGCGTGTAGTGTACAGTGTACATGACACAGTGTTCATGTTACGTGTTGCTCTCTGCTCGGCAGCAGAGGCAGCAGATTGTCTTGTTGATATTCAATAGGTTTTATATTTTCTACTATTGAGATTGTTTTCTTAGACGAGTCTCGTTTTATTAAAGATGTTAGCGTTACATGTCTGACTGTACAGATGCTGCTTGATTTCTGGCCACATCTAATTTTCCAAAAGAGTACATATTCTTCAGACCAGATGCTATATTAGCGGCCATGGAACGTGTAAATAAATGCTGCTAGTCTAAGTGTTAAGCCCATGTGTTTCAATCAACTATTAGCCAATCACTCGCTTTTATCTGAACACAGCCTCCTTTTCTGATGCTGCTGCTCTTCTGTCACCTTACACACCACCTGGCTGAATTCTAAAGCTCTAAATATAAACATGAATTCACAGGTGGTGTTTGGAACAAATTGTGCCTGTTGAGAACATTTGTTTACCCCCTTAGCTACTAAAGCACTTTCCGTGGGCGTGAGGGGAGCTGGTCAAACCCTGTAGTCACACCAGGCTCTCACTGAGGCGCGTCACAGCCCTCCTCTAGTCTCCTAGTCTATATTTGACCCCACGCCGCGCCCTGGATCAGGCCTCAAACAGGGTCCAACAAAACAGTCCTACTTTGCCTTCACTTTGATTTAGTGTCATGTCTTTTCTCTCCCAAGTGTTCTTTGTAATGTATTTTACTTTTGGCTTGTGTTTTTGTGACATTTTGCCATCATTTCATAATTTCATTTGCTTGTTTTACTTGCTTCCCCTCTGAACAATCGTCCAGCCTCACGCAGATCTGCGGACAGGCCCTGGGAGCTCGCTGCTAGAGGGATGGGAGAGAGAGAGAGAGAGAGAGAATGAAATGGGAGAGAGAGAGATGTGGACCGGAGGCTGGTTCTTCGTCTGCTGTTCCTTCAGTATCTTTTATCGTCTTGTTACAGATAACAGCAGAAAGATTATTTTGGAAAATAAATATAAAAATCATCTACGTTTTTAAAAAATGTTCCTTCAGTGTGGGAGGAGAAAAGGCGATGAGAATATACTTTGTACACATGTTTAATCTTGTAAAGTTCAAAAGAGAAATGTTATAGAGCGATCTGAAGTGGATATATTCTGTCGACCTATATTGTATTGTGAAATGTTTTGGGTTTTTTTCTTTTTTTTTTTTTTTTTTTTTTACAGACACCCATGTTTATCATTGTTTCTTTACAATTGTTTAAGTAACTTGATATTTTATAGTTAATCAATAAACAAATGGAACTGTACAGACGAGTGTGACATTCTGTGGTCTCGTACTCCCTGCTCTCTCAACAAGTCGGTGTCATAATCTATAGAACGTTATTCCCAAACGGAATTCTGCTGTTTCTGAAATTTCTCTTTCACTCTCATCCTTTGGATCCGGGGCAGTCACCTCTGTCCTCCAAGAGCAGCTGCAGGTTTTCATTTCAACCAAGCAGGAGCACAACAGACTCCACCCATTTCCTCATGACAGCCTGAACCTGGAGCCTTGAGGAAATGGGTGGAGTCTGGTTTCCTCCTGCTTGGTTGGAATGAAAATTTGAGCCGCTCGGGCACTTTGAGGACAATTGATTTACCCTGCTTTAGACGTAGTATCAAAAAGTAGAACCTCTGTTAAATATTGAGGCCAAAATCAAGCTTCAGATTTAAACGTTCAAACGATTCTTCAGAGGAGCTTTTCATCTCAAGTACCAGTAGCATATCTGAACTAAAGAGACATAGCTGTAGAATGACACGGTTTTAAATCAAATGGTGAATAAACAGAAAAACTCTTGATTAGAGCAGTGTTCCCAAACCTTTTTTTGAGCCAGTCTAGTCAAGAATTGCTCAAATTTGGCTAAATGTATCTTAGTTTGAGCACATTATGACGGCCTTTAAACAAGATATGCCAATGGGACAAAGCAAAATTATACTGCTTCAAAAAGATACAAGAAATGTCTTCCTTGGATTGTGAAAATAAAGCATCAGTTCTTGAAATAAGACTACATGGTTTTGTCCCGTAAGCAAATCTTGTTTTAAAAAGAAAAAAAGAAAAACAGTTTATTTTATTACCTCATAAGTTATATTTTTTTTTGCAGTGCAGCAGACCAGCAAGTGAAACGACCAAAAATGGAACTGTCTCTCCTTTCTAAACAAAGCAAAGTAATTCTGAGTGCATCAAACAAACAAGCACAAGGACAAAAGTTATACATTTTCTTCAACAGCAAGGTTTCTTTTCAATTCAATTTATTTTTGTATAGACCTAAAGCACAACAGTAGTTATCTCTGAGGACTTTTGACCAATTCTGTCATTATTGGATCACCATTGGAACACCAAACATCCCATGACACACTGGTTGGAAAGCTCTTAAGTAGAGCAGTATAAGTTGGGTACATATATTATATTCTACTGTACAATATGTGCAGAATCTATACACATACCACTGTCAGCTGATCAGTAACTACTTATGCATAAAACTGCTCTCACACATCGTCCTCTTTCTTTGAGGAAGTATCAGTCGGCCCTGGACCTGACCCTGGGGGAGGTCCAGGTCCTTGTCTCGCAGTCTGTTGACGTTTCTGTGAACTGCCCCTTTAATCACCAGTGGACTCAATAAGCCCTCCATTTTGGCAGCTCTAATAAAGCTGCTGGTTGTGCTAAAATGGAGGAAAGTTCTGCTTCTTCTTCCTCTGCTGCACCGCTGGCCACAAGAGACCGCACATTTTCCATCGTTTGACCGTTCATGATGAGCTGACTGTATGTGTGTGTGTGTGTGGTTTGAAATCCTGCGTGTCCATATTTAATTTAATCTTTGCTGACATGCCAAGACTGTGTGTGTTCCGGTTTCAGCAGTCAGGGGCCCGACCTCTGCTAAACTGGCCCCCAGGGGACCCACATCAGCAGAACATCTCTCTGACTGCTGGGCTGCTGCTTCCACACTGACTGAGCAGCAGAGAGAAAGCTGCAAGGGCTGTGGGTGTGTCGCCTCGTCTCCACTGGATTGGCTGAAGCTGGCAAACGTAGGCTTTCTATTGGTGGAGAATGTTGTAAGTCGCTGCTGCAGCTCTTTGGGAGTGAGTGGGACGCACACACACGCACATGAACATGCACACACACCAGTTTCCCAGGAGACCGGTATCTGAGGAGGGGGCGTTCAAAGCACAAACAGCCTGTTGTTCTTCACGTCCAACGCAGTTCATCCTTCAACTTGTTTTGTTTTGTTCAGGAGCAGAATATACCAAACAATAAACATGAAAGTTAACAAGGGCATGAAGTATGTCGTCTTTTACTGGTATTTCTGTGTATTTGCCACCTGTATGTGAAGATTCCATCAGATCTCGGAAGCTAAGCAGGGCAGAGCCTGGTGAGTACTGTGATGGGAGA